TATTTACTAGATATAGGGTAGTCGGGTATATAAAAGAGGGGGACAACGTGACGCGGTAATGTGTATAGATAGTGAGTAATTGATCTGCAGTCAGAAGTATTATTGAGCACGTTCGTTGTTATAGCGTTTGTTTAGCGCGATTGTTGAAGTTGGGTGTATCGGTAAAGTTATATTCGGAAAGAAAAAACCAGTTTTATTAAGTAAAGAACTTGTGTCGCTAAAGTTTCGTCGGAAGGAAGTTACGGAAAATCAATTAACAAACGGAGACGTAACAATATGTACTAGTTGGACGGGTGAAATAAAAATTTGTTTTTAACAAAGGATAGGAAATTGTGCTTTAATTATTTTTTTCTTAACGTAATACACATTAAAAGTACAATAAAAATACAATAAATTTGCCAATACTGAAAAAAAAATACTGTTCTCAAGAATTATAACAATAGTAGTTACACAGTTCATTCTAATGCTGAAGGATGTACAATATCGGACATTTTCCCGAAATTAGATATGAAATTAAAGGGGGGAGGGTCAAACCTCCCATGACCTTCCTTATGTCATCCTGCATCACTGTGTTAAGTTTGGTGCTGAGTGATTAAGAAATGTGGAAACGCATAAGGAGCAGATACACACACACATATAAAATATTTCATACAACGTTTAGCGTTTCGAAGTTCATTTTGTTTCATCAGGACTAGTGTATTTTTTGTTTTGTTTCTTATTAAACACAAAGTTACACAGTGTCTTGCTGTGCTGGGCCTATCACATATATTGAAGCCCGACTTTTGGCGTTATAAGACCTCAGAGTCAGACTTTACCTCTAAGCCATCAGGAGGTAGGATTAATGAAGAAAAACTTATTGGCAAGGATTGTGAAGGATAACTAACTTACTAAATTTCATGTTAACAAAAAACGAAAACAACTTAGTATAAAAAACAGGTTGGTAAATCACCTTAAAAATAAAACTATTGACTTAGGATGAGCCTGCCTTAACTCCTTTCGTTCTGATGAAGACGGGTTCACCTAACGAAAGCGCTTAGGTTTTTTTTTTTTTGTTCTTGTTGTTGTTTCATGTAGTTTGCTAACATAGTATTATTTTCAGTTTATTTAGAACTGTTTTTAAGTTACTAAAATGCAAGAATTTTTTGTTTGTCTTTAAGCGCAAAGCTGCACAATAGGACATTAGCGCTATGCTCACTGCTTATATCGAATTATATCTGAATCTTAGCGTTAAAGCCCTCAATCTTACTGCTGAGCCACCAGGGTCAAAAATGCAAAGATAATAAATTTACTAAGGAGCACTGAAGAGTGTTTGGGTGCGGGTTGCTCATGTGGAGTGCAGAGATGATAAGCCTGGCTTTAATCTGTGCAATACCACAAAATATTCCCAGCACTTTAAGCAATGGATAGTAGGTGCTGCTGAGTGGCTGCTTTCCTCCGGTTACTAGTTCCAGTGGGCTTTTTGTAACATAACCTGAAGATATCACTGTCTTTCATGGGCTGTGATTCGACTAAATTTTTGTCAGAAGTATAAATGCTTTAAGAATGGCACATATCTACTATGCAGGCCCACCTAGTGTGCGGGGATACTGGGGAAAAATCAACGGAGCCCCAGCCTCTAGGGAGCTCGGAAAATGGGGGAGTTAAAATAAAGAAAATAATAGTAAAGTAATTAATTAAATAACAGAGAAACATTGTAAGTAATAAATATACATATTATCATTTGTTTCCCACAGTTAAAATATGCACTGCTACAACAGACACCAGTCAGAAGACAACTAAAAGTGAAGTGTATGTGAAAAATACTACGACTACCGAACTACACTATAACAACATTATGTCGTTTAATTCACCCTATATACCACATCCCTCAAGCTTGTAGAAATATTTGTCGGTTACATGTGTAATTATCAAAAGTTGACCATGATGAAATTTGATGTTGTATCCCCAAATTATGAGATTTTTAACACGTTTTTGATAATTTATTGTGTGTAAATCAATGAAGAGTTAGCTGATTTTCGACTGGTCACCATACCGCTAACCATTCATGTTCCAAGTAAAGTTATCCATCCAACGTCATCTAACTTTCTTATTTATACAAACTTACTCTTCGTCGAATATTGTTATTGTTTGTTATGGAGTTCGCGCAAAGCTACACGAGGGCTATCTGCGCTAGCCGTCCCTAATTTAGCAGTGTAAGACTAGAGGGAAGATAGCTAGTAATCACTCTTTTACCAGCGAATAGTGGGATTGAACGTCACATTATTACGCGTCCGCGGCTGAAAGGGCGAGCATGTTTATTGTGACGGGGATTCGAACCCGCGACCCGCATATTGAGAGTCGAGCACTCTTAGCACAAAAAAAATATCGTCGAATATTAGGGTAAATCATTATATTATAAACTCAATGTGATAGTTGTCCACTTTGAAGTCATTATGAGGGTCGTGCGAGAAACACAGGATAACGTTTCCCGAGACTTGACTTTCTCATAAAATGTTCCCTAAGATTTGACAGACCTTGTTTGTAACCACCATGAAAAATATGAAATAACTCTAAATTACCCTTTTTTTTCTTTTTTGAATGATTGCAGATTCTAACTCAAAACTACATTTTGTAACATTTTATATATTTTTTCTACTTAATTTTATTGTTTTCTTGCCCTTTTGAATCGTGTATAACTAATACACTCGGCGATTGCTCAGCCCAATCTACCGTATTTAATTACATAATTCGCGGACTTGCATGCATTCAGTGTGATAGATATAAATAACACTAGATTGGCCAGTCACTACTCTTTATCATTGATGGGCATGTGCAAAAAAATCGTTCACAAAACATCTTTCATATGAATAATTGCATTGGATTTTAGCCCAGAGAGGAAATCTTAAGTTTAAAATCTGTTTTTTTCCTCGGTGTTTATTATGTGGCACATAAAAATATACATCTCAAATATTGTTGCCATCATGTCCGTTTCTTTGGGGTGGGGAGGGGTGGAGAAGAATGCAATTTATGTGTCTGTACCTCCAAACATTCAACGTTCTTAATAGATGTGGATGGAAATAATTGATAAAATTTATGATAGATATATAATAAAATTTGTTCGGATTTATTTGATAATTTGTGTCAAAAATTTTATACAGATACTTGAAAAATGTATTTATATATTTACAACATGAAGTTTAAAAGAAGTAACACAACTCGTTACACCTATTTCATCAATGATGCAATACATATATTGCACTAGATCTAAAGACAAGAAATTTAGCAATGTTACTCTTTTAAAGACTCATTTTTCCTCTCTTTACCGAGTTATGACCAAATGATCATGTTCTCTTCCCTCCCTTCATCTTCTACAAGATATTTTGGGATCTGAGCCCTTTCCCTCCAAATGGTCTCTGCAAGGTCTTATAATTAAAGGCTTGAAGTATAGGAAAAAACTTCGCTACAATCCTTCAATTTTTATTGCAACTTAACTTATGTAAATATCCAGTCTCTTATGGCAAGGGAAAAAATAAAGAATTACTCATGATACTGTAAATTTATCATCTTGGTGAAACCTAGTTAAAGATATTTCACAAATGTTATTATTCTGTAATCAGAACAAAATCTTTTGTTTGAAATACTAACATTCTCCTCATTAGAACAGTGGTTCTAAAGAGCACCATGCCATTAATTAAGACCAAATATTATTCCCCATAGTGGGATTCACCTTTTAATATCGAAGTAACAAAGTAAGATTACTTAATTATGCAAAATATTTTATTTTACATGAAAATCATATTGTT